ATGCACCTTAAAAGCCTTGGAAGAATGCAGATGACAAAAACTGTTTTAAGGAAAAGAATCTCCCACATTTTGGAATAAACGCGGCACTATTAAAAAGCTAGCAACGCCCTCTTTTCCTACCTTCAAGGGAGACACACATTTTTTCCCAGGAAACAGTCTTAATATGGCATTAAGGTCTTTGATAACCTCTTGGAATTTTCTTTACTAAGCAAATTAAGAGAGAAAGAAGGGAAACACATGAAACCTATGACACAGCAGTTTAGTAGGGAACTTTAGTCCTGGTTTTACCCGTATTTGCAAATAAATGCGGAAAGATGTGAATTTATTTTTATTTGGCAACTGAGAAACAATGTAAAGTTTAACACCTACAGCCTACCCTCACCTCTGGTGGACCATCACACTAAGGATGCCACCAGGCTGGCTACTGGCTCTGCTATGAAGCAAAGCATGTTTCTACCCCAACTAACCTGGGTTTTCCACACCAAAATAAAACAGAGATCAGTCTAGATACATAGCCCCGAGCCTTGTGTGTGTGCAGTATGGCAAAACTTACAGAAGATCTCCACTGAGAGAACAGGATGGCGATGGATATCTACAGAAAGCCCTCAGAATTGGTGCCTGCCACACAAACTGGTTGAGTGTTTTCAGTCAGCAAAACATTCTCTCCATAAGCTCATCAACTTTACGATGAAAGCTATTTGCCAAAGACTTCCACACTTGCAAAGATAACCAAGCATGTGACCAATTCTAATCCGAAGGAAACTTCCCTGCTTCAGTTTGTACTGAGGGGCTCTGACTCCCGGCTGCCCTTCTTAACGTCACCTCATAGGGAGGAGAGAGAGGTGGGAGTCTCTTCCTGAGAAGTTGTTGAATGCAGTTCCTTTCTTTTCCATGTAAGCACCCCTAAAAGAGGAGTAACTTCTCCATGCCTCATGTTCTCTAAGCACCTTCACTCCCACTGAGGAAGCAGTAAAGAAGGAGTGTTTCTTTTAACCAGGACAATCATTTCTGCTCACTGATTGCTTTTCCTCCAGGATCCAAAACGCTGAAAACATTCAACTTGATCCTTTTCTTTACCAACTTGAACATCAGAGACCAATGGTATTTGGAAAAAGTTCCCCTACAACCCTTTAGCAGAAACTTTGGAGAAAAACAAATGTAACTTTTTTTCTCTTCTTCCATTTCCTTTTCCTCCCCTCCTAACTCAGTTTTCCCTTAGAAGACAACTTCATTCCCTTCTCTGAAACAAGTAGTCTCGGGATTTGATTTTTGTTACACCGTGCCTATGTCTGTGTGATTTTTCACAGGCTGATGCTGGAAGACAGTGGGCTGAGGAGGCAGGCCCCTCTTCCCAGGCTTCGCAGGAGGCAGGAGGCAAGCTGGAGCATCCCAGGACCGAATCAGGGGCAAAAGCAACAAACTTTGCAAGTTGCAAATGGGCTATGCCCCTGGCAGGCAGCAGCTGGGTATCTCGCGCCCTGGGTGCTCATTCCTGACTCCAAGGCTATGTGTATGAAGATAGTGGGGTATATCAATGGGATAAAAAGGGGGGCTGGATCTCCTCCCCTCCTCTCCAGCTTTAGTGAAAGTGTTACAAAGTGAGTCAGGAGACTAAGGATCATCTGACTGAACTTTCTTGAAACCGACTCACATTCTTGTCTGCGGGCAACTTGCTTTTTGCCTCCTTCCCCCTCACCCCACTCCCCCTCTCCTCCTGCACATCTTATTTTCTGGGAAGAGATTTCCTCCTTTCCATGTGGGGGAAAGGGGACTGAATGCCCGCTATGGACTAGCTTGACTCTGGCACTGTCTTTGCCAGGCATCTTGCTAGCCTCAGAATCTGGAAGGTTGGGTTTTAGCTTCTCGTTTTTCTCTTTGCATATTTATTTTCCTCCTACTGCCTCTTTCTCCTTTGCTTTTTAATAATTGTACACAGCATTGTCTTCTAGCCCAGACTTTCAAACACACACACATACTGTTTTACACATTTTATCTCCTGTCACCTTAGTCTATATATACACTGTTGACTTCATTAAAATTATATAAAGTGCCATTCTAGTTCTTGGATGACCATCTTTTTTCCCTTGCAGCTTCTCCTTCTATGATTATTATTGCCATTATTCCTTTCCAGGACTTTCTATATGATATTGATAAGCATCATCATATTTAGTGTTATCAGCAAAGACACAAGCTCAAAAGTGACATCTTTTCCATGAATCCAGGAAAGAAGAAAAATCCACTCAATTCAGATAAATCCTAGCAATTCCCAAAGGAAAAGGCATTGGATACATGTTTGATGAGAAAGAAAATGAAAAAAAAAGAAAGGAGGGGGGCGACTCTTCTACCTGCTTCTCAAAACCAAGACATTGCTCAGTCAGACTAAACCCAATGAAAACACTGACATGTAACCAATTTGCAGCATGTTTTCTCAGCTTATTTGGAAAAAGAGATAGGCAATAGTCAAAGTTACAGATGCTAAAAGCAGTAGACAGGCTTGATGAGAAGTGTGCAGGTTCTGGGCTAAATGTCTTAAAATGTGCAATTCAACTTTCCACTTCGGAGAGTGGAGGCTTCTCCTAAGTTAGTGTCTGGACAGAGGGGAAATTGTTGCAAGGTCCATGACTACGCACCTCTCTGGCACTCCAATCCACCTGCTAAACCCCAACAGGACTACCTCTCAGCCAGCAAGTTTCCAGGGAGCTGGGATTCCTCTCTTTCCCCAGAACTGGGCTGTGGCCTGACCTCACTTTTGGGGCCAAGCTGATCATCCATGGCAAAATCATGATGGGAGTGGAAGGAGGAAGGCAAGAAGAAACAAACATTCTGGTCTTCCCTGCAAAAGGACACTTCTGGGAGCCTTGCTTTAAATCTCATTCTCTTTTTCTCTGAAAAAACGACTTTAACATAAAGGGGGGAAATAAAGGCTCCTGACACAAAGCTTTTGTTATCCAGTTGATCAGCAACGTGCTTTAGATACTTGTAAGAGGGGAAAAAAAGCCCCACAACAGACATTGATTTTAGAAAATCAATAACCAACATTTAATAAAAGGAACAGAGGAAACACAAGAGAGGAGAGGGGGACACTACGTGTAATTTCAGTGTCTACTAAATTATCCAGAGATGGAGAAGGGGAGGTCTCCTGTGTAAGGACCACCTTAAATAATACCAGGCACTAGAGTGAAGAAAAAATTAAATTAAAAGAGGGACACACACGCACAGACACACACACTTAAACAGAGGCAGCCTGAACTGAATCTTGGGGACGCAGCTCAGAATATATTATTGTACTTGTTTTGTGTAATACTAAGCCAAGCAAATAGATCAAAGACAGCACAAAGAGGAAAGGCAGATAACGTAACGAACAGTTTCTGACTAAAATTCCTCTATCACTCCCCCATATGGCTCGACACCTCCACCACAATAACAAGCAAAAGACACACACACACACACACACACACACACACACACACACACACACACCACACGACAGAAGAGATGGAGAGAGAGGAGAGGCAGAGAGAGAGAGAGAGAGAGAGAGAGAGAGAGAGAGAGAGTGTGAGAGAGAGAATATCATTTGTCTCTAATCAAAATTCTCTGGTCTTTGTGTTTTTCTCCCTCCAGCACCCCACACTGCGCCCCCAGCCGCCCCCTCTCTGCGCCGCACCGCACTGGGGCAGGCCCGGGGCGCGCACAATGATGATCTTCTATAGAGGAAAGTTGCTCCAAGTGGGCCCGGGCGGTCCCCGCAAGGCGCGGGTTGAGGTTGCAGGAGGCCAGGCGGTCGCTTCGACCCCGCGCCTGGCTGGGGAGCGTCTACACGACTCTGCGCCGGGTGATCCGGCTAAGAGCGAAGGGAGTGAGAAGTTTCCTTTCGGAGTCTGGGTTGGCGCTGGTTCGCTTGTTTGTTTTGAGGTTTTTTTTTTTTTTTTCTTTTTCAACTCAGTATCCTCCGTCAGCTCCCTCCCGGCACCCTCTGTAGTCCCCAGCCCTCTCCCCTCCCCCAGGCGCCTTCCGCGCACTTGCCAATCACTTTTCTCTTTTATTCCCACGATTCTGTTTGGGGGTAATACCTAGGGGGTCTCTCTCTCTCTCTCTCTCACACCCCCCATCCCTTCTCTTCCTGTCTCCAAGATGGACCCACTAAACTGTCACACACACTCTTTAATCTCCCACCTCTGGTCTCTGTGTCTCCCTCGCACCCCCATCTGCTTCTTCCTTCCTCCTCAGTCAGGATAACGGGCTCCTCCAGACCATGTAGAAACTGCCCGCAAAAGTCTCTTTGCGCCCCGCGACCCCTCCAGCCCCCGGCGTGGGGGCCGGAGCCTGCTGCAGAGGAGCCATGGGTCCCCTAGTCCGCACCGACCCCGCGGGATCCCGCGCGGGTCCGGCAGAATCCCTCCCACCCCCGCGGTCGGGCGCGCAGGGCCGGGGCCCCGCTGCCCGCGGACCGTTACTTGGCGCACGGAGAGGCGGCCCGGCGACTCCGGCAAGAAACTTTAAACCTTGCTGAGGCACAACCCCGGGTCCCCTCTCCCGCCCTCGCAACCCCTCTGCCACCCTGGCCTCGGCCCCGGGATCCCGCACGATCAGACGCCCAAGCCCCCCGCCCTGCCCTCGCCGGACGCTCCCGCTGCCCGGCCGGGGATCCGGCGGGCCGGGCGCGAGCGGAGCGGGAGGCGGAGGCGGAGGGAGGGCGGAGGCGGGGGCGCGAGGGGGCAGTGGGGCTGGGGGCACCGGACCCGGCTGGACCCCCCAGCTCTGGAAGCCCCCAGGCGCCCGACGCTCACTTTGCCCGGCACTTCCCCAACTCCCTCCCCCCCCACACCCCGGTCCAGCCGCCGCGCGCGCCGGGCTCCGGCGCCGGCCGCCGAGGGAGGCTCGCCCGCGAGCCCCGGGAGCCGCGCGGCCGCCTCGGTTCCTTTCCCCGTCCCCCACCCCCTTCTCCCTGGGTCTGGAGCCGCGGAGTGGCCCGGAAAAGTTTGGTTCGGGCCTCTTCTTACCGTTTTTCCTCCTGGGATTGGCTTGTTTGCGCCTCTTGCACCGGGGGCCATCCGCCATGATCGGCTGCTTCATTGATAAGAGCGGATCAGATGGCAGTTCGCATGGACTCGGCGCCCTGCTTCGGCAGCACGCAGGCTCGATCTAGCAACCAAACACAGCGACAATGTGGGCATCGCCCGCGCCCATTGAAACGCGCGCGGGCCGCCCAGGGGAGCCGGGCCAGGGCCCCGGTGAGCACCCATCCGCGCCCCCCAACGCCAAAGCGAAACTTCGGCGGCCCCCTCCCCGCCCCCCACCCCCAGCCTTGGCCCTGAGGCGCTTTGTGTTTGTTACTGTTTGGTGTGTTGCACTCGGGAGGGGATCAGAGAGACAAGAATTACATCTTCAAAATGAGTCATAACTCCTGACCGTATGAGGGAATGCACACGGCGGTACAGTAAGACTGCCTGACTCAGGGCTAGGCGGACCTTTTCCTCCGAAAAGTCCTCAGCCCGGCTCGGGAACTTGGGGTGAGGCGAGGCTCTCTTTCGCTCTCATCTTTCCTCATGCTCCCCCACCCCCGCCCTGACACCCCATTCCCAAGAGGAAAGAAAGAAACAAACAACGCGAAAGAGCCCCGAGATGAAGCACACTCGGGTAAATTGATAATAGTAATTATAGGAAGCCCACTCGCCCCCTCCTCTCCGCTTTCTGAGTTTATCGAGGCTCTCTTCCTCTCCCCACCCTCCGCCCCCAAATTAAGATCTCCCATTTTACTCAGCAATGAGAAATATAATTATAAGCTTTTTGGACACTGTTCCAACCCCCCCCGCCACTTTGACAATATTTACTGAAGTATTCCCCCCCCACCTCACTTACACACAAGCTCCCCCACACTGGTTCCCTTAAATAGTTAAAGTAGAAAAAAATTTCCCTCAAGAAAGGAAAGAGAAAGTCCAACCACTACGGCAATACTTTTAAGTTCTACTAAATGATCGTATCTTTTCTGGCTTCGAAACTTTTGTACCTAAAAATCGAGAGAGGCGCTGCATTTTTTCAGCTGAAACTGTCAAAACTTGGAGAAGGGGAACCTCGCAGGCAGGCAGGAGAGGAGAATCCTGAAACTCGGTGGAGGTTGGGAAGATGCTGTGCCTTGAGGATTAGTTTAAACAGGGGGCTATAAAAGATGTAACAGATGCAAACTGTAACACAAGGGCCATTAACCCTTTCTCTGCCTCGGAGCACACTCAGTCCCTACGCCCCGCACCTATTGTCTCCTGTGCTAGAAGCTTTGCGGAAAACCTGGAAAGTGAGTATCAGTTTCCACACATTTGTTGAGAGGAGCGAAGGGGGGCAGAGAGAAGGGGAAGTGGATGTTTTAGAAAACACCTTAAATTTACCTAGGCATATCAGTAAAAGACTTTCAAGTTTGACACATTTTTCAATCATTTCTTGCTTGTTCTATTGATTTGAAATTGTTGAGAGGAAATCTTGAAATAAAGAAATGGTCACACAAGTGTCTGGGATGGAACAGCTGGCCTGTCTGTATTCATGCTGAGACTTACACACGATTGCATATAAATACATGTTTAATAAAGTAAGTTGCCAGTTTTATGAGCCTGTGTGTGTGTGTGTGTGTGTGTGTGTGAGAGAGAGAGAGAGAGAGAGAGAGAGAGAGAGAGAGAGAGAGAGAGGACATTTGTGCTGTAAACTTTATCTTTGGCTGTTATTCCTAACTCTGGAGTAAGTAATCTTGTCCTCATCATTATAGGGGAACATGTAAAACACATAAGTAGGTGGGAGATAAACACGTTTATGTTAGCGTGGCTCACCACTGTTCTTGGGAACTCCTGCTATCTCTCTCTTGACTTTTCAGTCCCAAACTATGGAGTGGTGTATGTATGTATGTCTCCTATGAAATCCATATCTACTTTACTTGGCCATTTAAAACACAATTTCAAAAGTTACCCTAATTCAAAACCGTGGTATCCTGACAGCAGCTTTCTTCCCAGCTGTAGTGAACTCCCCCCCACCCCAGTTTGGTGAACGACTCAAGTTCCATGAGGACTTTCACTTCTTTATTTATAATCACAGAAGTGAGGTGTTACTTCACACACACACACACACACACACACAAAGAATGAAATAAAGAAATGAAACTCGCTAAGCAGACAAAAACAGGCAACTTTCTGCTTAGAAAACAGCCTTCTCTGGTGGGAGAGGGTGGACTGCCATGTCTAAGAGAAAGATAAGATTTGCCCCTGAATTTGGTAGGTCTATATCCAACAAATTTTATAATTATTAACAGGTATTTGCCAAGTTTTAATTGATGAATATAATGAATTGGATCTAAGTGCAAAAATACAACAGAAGCTATCCCTTTGATAAGCTTTTATTCCAGTCATATAGTTCTTAATAAAACTTTTGCTACGCTGGGTAGCAAAAGGCACCTTTAGTTACCTGAGTGGACAGGTGCTGGGCAAATTATTTGGGGGAGATAAAAAGAAAAGAGAAGGAAGGAGAGAGAGAGAGAGAGAGAGAGAGAGAGAGAGAGAGAGAGAGAGAGAGAGAGAGAGAGAGAAAGTGATGAGAGGAGAGAGAGAGAGAGAGAGAGAGAAAGCGAAGAAGCTACTTACTCTTGGGAGAAGCATGCAATAAAGAGCTAAACCCACCTGAAATTCCTACTCATAGCCATCCCTTCTCACTTCACACTCACTCAAAATGAGAAAATTACAAAAGGAGGATGGGGGACGAGCACACCAAAAAAGGATAAAAAGAAAAAAAAGGGGGGGGAACCTACCTGCGAAGTCTTGTTTGTAGTTTTGGCCAGAAATGGTGAGAAGAAAAAGCATGAAGAAGCCGCGAAGTGTGGGGGAGAAAAAGGTGGAAGCGAAGAAACAGCTCCCGGAGCAAACTGTACAAAACCTCGCCAAGAGTGTCGGGAGGCAGGACCGTTATTCCTGCGGAGCAGGTTAGAACTGATCTCTTTTCGGCCACTCCAGGAAACACAAACCTGGGGACGGACTGACGTGTTACGCCTCTTCTAATGACATTTTTTTCTTTTTCTTTTCTGTAGGGGAGAGAAGAGAGACCCTGAAACACGCGCCACCTATCTTTGTGGGGAGGGATAATTGAAGCGCCCTGAGCGTGAGCATCATGTGAAAACGTGATCGCCAAGTTTCTCTCTGGGAAAGGATCTGGGATAGATTATACCTTGAAGTCTCCGCAAACGCTTTAGTGGAAGAAATGAAATTCCACCTCCCTCCCTTCCTTTCTCCCTCCCTCTCGCCTCTCTCTCCCTCCCTCCCTACTCCACGCCCCCCCCCCCCCCCGTCAAGCCTTTGGCATCATTATCCCATCACTAAATTCTACAGAGTACAGGGCGGAAAGCCGTGCACACCATTCACAGAACCAGAGGACTCCAAGGGGCGAAAGTTAAAGGGAAAGACCCCAGGTCCTCAATCCAGATCGCCTCTTATACAAATATCTCTAACGACCAGATTTAAGATGAACATTAAATTGTGTGGCTATCTCAACACGGTTTCTGGGATTTAATTCTTTGCCCTTACTCTTATTTATTTATGTTTTTAAGATGCCAGAGCAGGGTGGGGGGGATGCATGCTTCATGTGAACTGCATTTTAGGGTGCGTGTTTGTGTGTGTATGTGTGTGTATGTGTGTGTGTGTGTGTGTGTGTGTGTGTGATGATACTAAAAGTACTTTGGCATTTTAATAAAGGGTCTCTGAGTAAATTAACACAGAGCACTGGGTTGGCCAATCTGTGGATCTCTAGATCTCACGGAGACCTGACTACAAAGTGAGTGTGCATAGGAAGGCAGGAGAAAAAGGAGAAAGGCCATAGAGGAACTTAGCAGGGAAGGGAGAGCATGATATTAAACCGCATGGGGTCTAAGTTTTGGAATATATTTTTTGATATTGCAATTAAAGTAAAATTAAAAAGAAAAGACTCCACCTTTGCTCTGAAGGGATTGGTTATGCAAATATGGAAGGGATTTCCTGGAGAATACAGCTTTCTACTGTATGGTTAATTAAATAATCACTCAAAAGCTTCCAACGTGACGCTTCTGTCGTAATCCAATCAGGTTACATAGGTCCTAAACAAGAAAGATATTTTCCACATCTGGAAGTCAGCAATTTAGCAAGTACTGCACATTATTAACCAATTCAGAACCCACTTCCCAGGGGAATTTTTTTGAAGTTTAAGTGTTCTTAACCAATGCTCTGCTGTTTTGTTAATCAAAAAGCTGGTTTACACTGCACATAATTGGAACTAATATAGAAGTAAATAAAGACAGCCAAATTTGAGGATGCTGAGCACAAGCATTTATCGGAAAAGGAAGAAATCTCTTAGCCTCCGATAGTTCAGGCTCAATTTCTTAAAGTATTCTGAGGCTTTCTTTTTTTGTACATACTTTTTTCTTTTATTTTCTTCCAGAGTGAAAGTACTTGAGAACCTGAGCACAAATAAATTTCCAGCCCCACAGCCTTTGGGCTCCCTTGGAAAGGTAAAGGTGGAGGTGTGAAGAGGAACAAAATGCTGCTCACACCAATTTTTCTGCTTTAATATTGCTAAATATTGTTGCAGCCCCTGTTTTCAGTCTGATGAAATCCGAAACAAATAATACCCTGATCCAACACTAGACTTTTACTTATATTAAGATAAACTGCTTTGAACTGTGCTTTGAATGTGTGCCTAAAGCAAGACTTTGAATGCAAGAGTCACTGGCAATTGCACTCAAAGGAGGAAAAAGCCACCACATGGGTTGCCACATCCACACTCCCAGAGGTACACGTCTTTGTATTTAGTATGTTTATTTTTCTGGGGGGGGGTGGGAGGGTAATAGCCACCCAGCATGACCACAGCTAGATCTTGTTTTAGGATGCAAAAAAGTAGATTTTCACAGTTGGTTGCAGACTTATTTCTTTCCTAATTTGAGTAGTAGAACGAGAATGGCTGGATAAATTAATCTCTCCCCCACCCATCACAGATAACATACCTACAGAAGATCTATAGGTACTGGAGATTTTCAATTTAAAAATAGTAATAAAGAAAAATAAAGATTTCCACCATGGATCAGACACATTTTGGTGTTATATTTTACATTTCTTATACTATTATATACATACTAAACATATGTACGAATTAAGTTCCTCCTGAGATTTATGCCCACGGTTCATATACTTTTTTTCCTCCTGATTTTTTTCTTTTAAAAACTGGAATCCAGCTTTCTCTAGAACTTTGCCTTTGAGTCTCCTCCTCTCCTTCCCAAGGGGAAGGAACAAACATTGAGTGGAGTAATTTCAGGCAAGACCCCTGTGCGGGCACCCAGGTAGCCATTGGAAAGGTTTATAACCCAGACACACATTCACAGGCATAACCACAGGTCAAATGAAATAGCTAACAAAACCCTTGTCTTTATTATGTATATTAAATGTCGTATTACTTAGGATCTGAACAAAAAAAAAGCTATTAAGTATTTCCATTAAAAACATCTAATCATCTGATTACGCTGGGCTCAGTGAATCGTTGGAGTGGCAGAAGGGAGCCCCGAACATTTAGCGCTGGGAGTTTCGACATGCAAGCATTTGATTTGGGCTAAGGAAAGAAGAAGAAGAAGAAGAAGAAGAAGAAGAAGAAGAAGAAGAAGAAGAAGAAGAAGCAGCAGCAGCAGTTTTCTAGATCCCTCTTAAGGTGAATGTTTGGATGGCAAGAGAAAGGTTTCTGCGAGGGTTGAGCGCTGGGCCAGGTTGCCCACAGCACTTTCCTGGCACTCCCCTCCCCAAGCATTTGGAAAGTGTTCCCACTAATGCAGAGGCAGTGGGGTCGGAGGAAGCCGGAATACAAATTTGTTCCGAACTCTCCCTCAGTTCGAGGGCCAGGTCAGGGACAATGGGGATCGTGATCAGTGGGCTACAGGAGCGCTGGGTACAGGGAAAAGTCCAGAGAGGACTAGGGACTGCTAGCTTTCGGCTCCTTGCACTGAAAAACAAGTCCTGCAAATGAATCGCTCCTTCCCCGTCAGTCTTCGCTGTTAATAATCCACTTCGAGATTAGCGCAGAGGAAGGGGATTAAAATAACAGATACATGCAAATGTGAAATAATATTGCAATTGACATGGGGCGGGGGATAATTCTTTGGGGTTTCTATGGGTAAAACAAACTGCTCCTGTTAGGATTCTCTCCACCCACGCAGGGTGAGAAGGATGCACTTTTATTTTCCAATTCCCTGCAGCCAGAACCTGGTGCCTGTCCCTCCATTCACCTCTCAGTCTGACAATTTCCTCAACTTTCACAGCCGCTCCCCCGCCCCCCACTCCTCTTGCTGGCCCAGATGCCCGAGAGGTACATCGTTTCTGCCCTTGAACACACAAGATGTAGAAGGAATTCGAATTTGGAGACAGCTAATTATTATTATTTTTTTAAAAAGTAAATTGTGTTTATTTTGTACCATGTGGAGAAAAAAAAAGGAATCTATTCTTGTTTTGAAACGGAATTGATCTTTCATCTAAAGGAATTATTTCTACTCCGTGTTGCTACGCAGGAGGTGGGCAACTTCTCTTAGAGTTGCTAGCAAAGGGTGATAACAGGGACCCCTGGATGGGGTGTGTGTGGAGGGGGTGGGGGACTGCAGGGGTCCACGCCAAGCCAAACGGGTTTCTCACGTGCAAACTCACAATCCAATCCATTCGGAGTTCATTCTGGGATAGGAGGGGAAAGTCTATTAAAAAAAAAATGTGGAGCATCTCTCTGAGAAGCCCTTTCAAACAAAACCAAAACAGGACCAGCGAACCTCAGACCATCCTAACATCCCTGCTGCGCGGCCCGCGGGCTGTGGAATCTCTCACGTCACCTGGCCCCAGCAGGGCGGCCAGCTGAGAGGATTTATTTTGTGTTCTTTTATTTTATTTTATTTTTTTGAAGTACAAGCTGAATCTCGGCTTCAGGGTTTTTAGCCAACGACTGCACTGACAGGATCCAGCAAACTTCAGAACTCAAATGAGCATCTTAATTTATTGATGCAAAACAGGTCTGCTTGTTGTCCCCAATTCTCGGCGCGCTCTGCACCCCTCCCCCGCCCCCAGCTTGGGTCCCTGCATCTGATCTCAGGCAAAGGCCCCGCAGCTCAGGCGGCGGAGCACGTGTGGTGTGTGTGTGTGTGTGTGTGTGTGTGTGTGTGTGTGTGCGCGCGCGCTGGGGGGGGGGGGATCCGGCCCTGCCCTGCCCTGCCCGCCGGCCCTGCTCAGTCCAGACCCGTCCGCGCCCTGGAACCCCCCGACCCCCGCCCTCCGCCCGGTCAGCTGACCTGGCTAGCTCGCCTGCTCCCCGCCCGCCGCCCTGTTTCCGGTCCCCAGGGTCCCGGAGCAGCGCTCCGAGAGGGAGCAGCCGCGGCTGGGAGGTGATGCTGGGGGCTGATTATCATGAGAAAGGCTGTGCCTGGAAAAGCCTCCTCCACGCGACTGTCAATCTCACTAAAGGGGGGTGGACGCAAAGGGGCCCTGTAGGAGTCACCAGAAAACTTGGAGTAAGTTGGATGCGACGCAGGCCTGAGGAGATGGCATTCGCCTCAACTTGGAAGACTGGGACATAGAGGGCGCGGACGCCAGCATCCTCGCCAGGGAACTGAAAAGCAAAAATCTCTCTTCTTCCCTTCCTCTTGCCCTCCTTTCAGCCCTCCCTGCCCTTTATCCGTATTTTCTTGAAATTCTTTCCCTATTGCATTTCCTACATTCTCTTTTCTTTCTATAGCTCTTTTGCAATTCCTTGTTTTCTTTCTTAATATCTCCTTGTCTCCCTTGTGTGATTCTTTTTGTGCCTCTTCTCAATGTCCAGATTTGTCATTTGGTTTTTAAAACACAATGTTTAATATGCAATTAATCTACCAGCAGGAGGTCAGGGATACCCTGGCTAAAATAACTCCTGGGTCTCAGAGACTACAAGTTCACCAGGTGTCAGTGAAAAGTAAAATAATAATAAAAATAAATCAATATCTCAATGACTATAATGACCTATTATTCTGTATTGTGATATCAGCTTTGACTGATAAGTAAAAAAAAAAAAAAAAACAGATGAAGTCTTCCTGGAAAAAAATGAATAGTACTCGCCACAGGGAGATTTGTCAGAATTAAGACAATGTGATATTTTAAAAGTGCTTAG